ATCTAAGTTCATGGCTAAAATTATGGAAAAGAAATTTGCATTTTGACATATCATAAGTAACTTATAGACCAACGGACGAAATGGCTTTTGATAATTGAGGTAGCCATTTAAGTCATTCGACAAGAGATGCAAATTGTAGGACCACAATTTTTAATCCATGCTAGTGAATTGTAGCAATCAACACTAAATGCATCATGTGATTGAGCAATCTTAGTTTATATTTGTCCTTTTCAAATGTATAAATTGTCATCTTTTTATGTTGTTGAACATAAGTACCAAAGGGGAAAAAGAAATGTCCGGTATCTTCACATATATAATAATAATAATAATAATAATAATAATAATAATAATAATTTTAAAAGATAAATGTTGGATTTTATAAACCTTTTCAAAGAATAATTGATCAAACAAATCACTACTAGATTTCAATTGCTCTTCTTTGATATGGGATGATCATTCCAAAAAACATGGTGATTATGTCATTGTGTTTAATAATAATTTTATGATCCTACGTGATAGTGGTCGTGGATTATCAAGACTAATCAAATCATTATCTTGAAAGATAGTCTAATTCTTATCCAAAAAGATAACAAATTAGACTTGATAATTTGAAACATGACACAATGATACGAATAAAGTATATGGAGATAATATGATTTGAAATTTTAGAAAAACCATAAATAAGTTTAATAAAATCAAAAAATTATATTTTATATATTTTCGTGTTAATGCAAATTGTGACATATGATTTTCGTATAAAATATAATACAAACACAGTATTTTACACAACATGGTAACATGAATTGTTAGGTCTATGAAAAACTCTATCATCAAGGTGAAATAATATATAAAATTAATCATTATCAATATTACTCATTTAATATGTGAATTAAAACTTACTATCTCTTAAAATTTTAATTATTTTATATTATAAATTTTTATATTTTAAAACTAATATTCATTGTAATAAATTCAAAATAATTTATGCATTTTTTAATATTTTATATAAATATAATCTTTTTATTTTTTATTATGGATGAATTCAAAATTTTTTTATATAATTTATATTTAAAATTTAGTTTACCTATCAATAAATATATTTATTAATTTAATAATTTTATTATATTTTATTATAAAATAAATAAAATATTACTAATATTTTACAAGTTATTATCTTTAATTAAAATTAAAATAATTAACTTATGTAATTATTATATGATTATTTTTGTATTTTAAAATAAAATAATATTTGATTTTTAGTAATACCAAATACAATATCACCTTGATAATAAAATCATCTTGGTGATTACATTACTATGATGATCTTGTAAAAAATATCAAACACTGAAATATTAAACCTTTTCTATACTGTTAAGATTGGCAGCGTAACACTAATTTTGATCTAATCTTCACTTCTAAATTTGGTAAATCAAGAAAGATTATAATCCAAGAAAGATTATGATTTTTTGTTATAAACATCAATAAGATTTATTCAATTCTAAATAAAAATTCTAATTTCATTAATGAAACTTTAATTAAATTAATTTATTTGATACTAAAACAAAAAGAGTTAAAGTTTATATTGAATTTCTTTATTTTTAGAGTTCTAATGATACAATAACGTTAAAAATAATAAATTTTATATTAGTATGATATATTTGCACATGTTTTACGTGTTTGGTCGAATTTTCGTTAGGACTTTATTAATTTTTAGCTATTTGTACAATATACTATTATATGTTCAATTTATAATTATTATTTACTAATAAATAAAAAAACTTCAATACTAAGTTTATAATTATTATATGTTTAATTTATAATATACTAAGTGCATATGTATACTTTGTTTAAAGAGCTGAATCCAAATTTCGCTTTCTTTTCATAAAAAGAAAAAAGCTTTCAATATACGTTTAACTATAGCCTATATTCACATTTATTAAAAAAAAAAAAGACTCTTCAAAGTTGGAGTAAAATGAATCTTACATTAAATTTAGCATTTAATTCAATTGATTCATATAATTTTTTTTAAAAAACAATATCCAACAAATTTATAATTTGAATATTAACACCGCTAACATTTTCTTATATCCCAAACTTATGACCTTTTTGTACCAATAAAAAATAATCCTACATTCAACTTTACATAAACACTCCTACTTTATAGAGGTATATATTAAAGTTTTTTTTTTTTTTTTTCTATAGTAAGCAATCACCTAATAACTTTCAAAAACAAAGTTTAAATTCAAACAAATAATTTATCCTAAAATCTTAATTAGTTTAGGGTCTGAGTTTATGCTCTCTTATCATTTCCCACGAAAATTTTGTAGTTATCATCTATTTTTTAATAATAAAATCTTTATTTGGGTGAGAAAAAAATCATTTGCCACAAAAAAAAAAAAAAACAACTTAAAAGAATCAATTAAATAGCATAGTTATTATATATAAATATCTAATTTAATTTGTCCCTTATACTTCTCCTCTTGCTGCAACTTTTCTTACCCCGTCCACATACAGGTGATTGAAGACGAGAACTCCCATGTTTGGAAGGTATGTAAATGTTGTCGGAAACTTGACTTGTTACACAAATTAAATATTGTTCATCTACTGATGGCTCTCAATCCTTGTAATCAGACCCCTTATCTTGACATTCTAGCTATAAAGAAATGTTCCCTCATTGCGACAATATGACAAATTTCCCTCAAATTTTGTGACCTCTTCTAAGCTTATCATTGATACTTAGTTGATCAAAAATCAATTTCATATTATTTTAATTAGCTTAGTGTAATTGTCACGGGTCGAGATTTAAGCTCTGAACCCGCGCGGCTCCGAGATCCGGGCATTCATCCTTCCGGTATCTCGGATCAACCTACCTGTCACGGTTCACACCTTTGTGAGGTATTATCCGCTCTGATCTCTCTTGACCTCATGGTTTTGTCTTACAAAAGGCACCTTACAAGACAGAGGTGGTGTGAACCCTTATATACCCCAGTGACCCTCATATTATGTTCGATGTGGGATTCAAGACTCTTCCTTAAGTTCGTGACATTCTTCCGCACCCAACTTCGTGACGCTCTCGTCACGGAGGCTGGTCACCCTGCCTATCTTCCTCGAGGTGCTTGGCGTGGATCGAACGGTTTAGGGCTGGCTCTGATACCACTTGTCACGGGTCGAGACTTAAGCTCCGAATCCACGCGGCTCCTGGACCCGGGCATTCACCCTTTCGACATCTCGGATTAGCCTGACCGCCACGGTTCACACCCTTGTGAGGTATTGTCCGCTCTGGCCCCCCCTGACCTCACGGTTTTATCCTACAAAAGACGCCTCACAAGGCAGAGATAATGTGAACCCTTATATACCTCAGTGACCCTCCTATTATGTTCGATGTGAGATTCAAGACTCTTCCTTAAATCTGTGACACAATACACATGCTACCAATAATAATTGATGGTATCAAAATTTTTTTATGATAATAACTAATGGTATCTTTAAAAACAAATAACTAATATTATGATTTTTGATGAAATGTTAGAGCAATTGAAAAGCTCATCGATTTTTAAAATAATTAATTTTAGTTTCAAGTTTTATAAGTATCCATTTTTTCTGGCTCTAATCTTGATTGCACAAATTTTATAATGTATGGTACACTTGATTGATTCGATGATCTTTTGTTTTTATTCAAAATATTAAATTTTATTTTTAAATAAAAAATCAAGTATCAACTATTCGATACCCAAAAAATTAATATTGTATTTAAAAATATATAGAAAATTGGAAGGTGACAATATCCCAACAACAAACGCTAAATTCATGAAGGTGCACGATCATATTCTTCCCGTAGATTATGGGGAGGAGCTGGCATGTGAAAACCGTACAAAATTTGTTTTTGTCTTTTGTTTGGCTCTATGCGTCCTTTCTTTACTCGAAACACGTGTGCCTACTTTTTCTTTGCTAATTTGCTTTCTATTTGGTAAGAAAAATAATACTAAAAATGAAAGGAAAAGGCCAATCGACTTTAACCAACTCATTATACTTAAGACCTCTTCCATATGCGTGGCCATTAGAATTTTTTTTTCGTAAAATTATTGTGCTCTCATAATGTCAATAAAATAATAATTATAATAATGGTGGCTTCCGCATAAAGGACACTCCCAAGGACAGTTTGGCCGATTGAAAACTATTGGGGGATATTTGTTGTTGGTCGTGCAATATTGGTTTAAGGATCGGATTTTAAAATCTTTTATGAAATTTAAAAATTATCATATCAATATATAAAATAAATTTTAAAAATTTTTAACAATATAAAAATGTTTTTTAAAAAATTAATGATTATTATCATGCACGATGAAATTTTTTATTTAATATGAAATAAAAAGGAAAGTAAATAAAGTTGTGAGTTTAATGATGATTTTAACTCAGACTGGCATAAAAAACACAATGCAACTTATAAAAATAAGTAACAATGAAATATTTATTTAAAATTTAATTAAGACTTTGATCAAATTATTTAAATAAAGTTCATGGAATTTGTTTATTAAAAATGATTTAATAAAATTTTAATAAAAAATTTAATAAATTAATTAATAAAATTTAGTGAAAAAATTAATAATATATAAAAATATTATTTACAATTCAAATTTAATAATTATTTATTTAACAATAAAAAATATTATAAAAATTTTAATGAAAATAATTATTTAAAAATATTTTAAAATTTAAATATTTAATCCATATAAAAAAATCTTTCTATATATCTTTGAATTTTCAATTTTTTGTTGATATTTAATTATTTTTAATAAAAAATTCACCTAAAAGTTTTATCCAAGTTTTTCTCTTAAAAATTCGGGTTTTCTTTTTGAGATGAAAGTTATGTTTTTATTCCCTAAAAATGGCAAATTAAGAGAACCTTTGTATGGATCAATGTTTCAATAATAGTCCACGCCAAGCAGAACCAAATACCCGTTTCACGGACACCCAAAAGAAAAGAAAAGAAAAAAAAAACCTCACTTCAATAAAACAAAAAAATATACTTAATAAATACTACAAACCGAAAACAAACTATATAAACTATAACCCAAGCATCAAAACTATCTTTCTCTCTCTCCCCCTAACATTCTTCTTTTTTTATTTTTGTTCTTGCAACTTTCCATTTTCTCTTCCTTTGTTCTCTCTCTGGAATGGAGAATCCTTCCTCTTCACCACCATTTCCAACTGAGTTAGATTTGGACAACCTCAAAGCCATCAAAATCCTTGGTAAAGGAGCCATGGGCACTGTCTTTCTCGTCCACGACACATTTACGGACCCCACAGCTCGTTCCCCGTTTGCCCTCAAAGTTGTCCAAAGATCCAAACATGACGCTGACCGTCGAGCCCTTTGGGAAATTGGGGTATTGACAAGGCTTTCCCCTCCCGACCCTACTCCTCAGCACCCATTTCTCCCTCGTCTTTTGGGTCGTCTCGAAACCTCCGAGTTTCTTGCCTGGGCTGTCCCTTACTGCCCTGGCTCGGACCTCAACGTCCTCCGTTACCGTCAAAACGACGGCGTTTTCTCCCCTGCTGTCATCCGGTTTTACCTGGCTGAGATAATCTGCGCTCTCGAGCACCTGCATTCCCTGGGCATCGTTTACCGAGATCTCAAGCCTGAAAACATCCTCATTCAACAGTCAGGTCACGTAACTTTAACGGATTTCGACCTTTCTCGCAACTTAAAGAAGAAGCAATTATCGGAAACCTTAACTGACGAGAAAAAGGATCAAAATTCATTGTCCGAAATTCCGGTTCGACGTAAACATCAACGAAACTTTATTAGATGGATCCCAGTCGTGCCTGATAACAAATATAAGAAAGCATTGAAGAAAGCGAAATCAGCCCGGGTCAGCCCAGTGAGTCGACGAAAGCTCAGTTTCTCAGACGGGGAGCGTTCCAACTCGTTCGTGGGCACTGAGGAATACGTGTCACCTGAAGTAATACGTGGCGAAGGGCATGAATTTGCCGTCGATTGGTGGGCTCTCGGAATTCTAACGTACGAGATGCTTTATGGTACTACACCGTTTAAAGGTAAGAATCGGAAAAAGACGTTTCGAAACGTTTTGACCAAAGAGCCAGAGTTAAAGGGACAACCAAACGCTTTGACGGATTTGATCGGACGGTTATTACAGAAAGATCCGAAAAAGAGACTCGGATATCACAGAGGCGTGTGCGAGATCAAGGAGCACCCGTTCTTTAAAGGGGTCAGGTGGGATCTCTTAACGGAGGTGTTACGACCGCCGTTTATTCCGTCAGGAGACGACGCTGACTTGAAAGAGAAAGTAACGCCAGGAAAAATAGATATACGAGAATATTTCCTGAGTTTGAAGTCTCCGTCGTCGATGCCACCATCCCCGTTACCTTCACCGTCGATAGAGCTTAAACGGAACGTTTCTTTCATGGAGTACTAGCGCAAGTGTAAGGTTCAGTTAGATAGATTATTTTCTTTTATTTTTATTTTTGTACTTTTTAATTTTCATTTTGAAGTATACATAAAATAAAGGTAGAAAACGTGAAAATGGCCGGATTAGTGGTATAAAAGCCATTATAAATTGTAGAATTATACAATTGTTTATACGGTTATTATGCAGTTTGATGAGCACCTTTCTTTAGTTACCATTTTATAATTTCCTTCCTTCCACCATGAGGTTCGCCTGAGGTAATTTCTTTAGAAAAGTTTTTTTTTTTTTTCCTTTGAAAAAAGCAAAGGGTTTTTCTTTGAAAGAAAGAAATTCTTGAATTTCTTAGTAATAATTCTCCAAAGAAACTTATAGGTAAAGACTACTTATTTCTTAGTAATTAACGATGTTCATTTACAAATGAATTTCATCTTCAAGAAAAACATTTCAAAACTTTCTTTTTCGTAGAAAAATTTCTTCCAAAAGAGACTTTAGCATGAATTCATGAATACGAAAAATAAATAATATTTTTTTCTTTTCTTGGTCGAAGATGCATTTCTTAGAAGGAAAGTATCAGAAAGAATTCTGCAAGTAATTTATTAAAGAAGGAAAAAAGGGGAAAATTAAAAAAAAAATGAAAGAGGAAATTGCTTGGGAGATTAAAATTTAAACAAAGATGAATACAGAAAAGGAAAACGTGATATGATTACGAGACAAATGTTCTAAAATTACGGGTCTCATTTTCCTAAAGTTTTAAACAAATAAATTCCCTTGACTTTAACCTATTAAATCTAATCTCCCTCCAAAAAATAATAATACAAACGAAATAAAAACGCTTTATGATGATCTAAGCGGATGTAATTTGAGTCATGATCTTAATTTAAATTATCCCAAATGCAGATATAAGTGAAAGGATATATGGGAAATCATAAGTGAAATTGAAAGATAATAAAAGTTGAAAATGTAAATAAAAATGAAGCTTTTGCTTTATTACTAAGGCCGTTGGCTTCAAAATTATTTTATTTTTTGAAAATTATAATTATAATTTTTTTAATCAATTATTACATTATAATTAAATTATATTTATTAAATAATTAATTAATAAAATTATAATATAATTAAATAATTAAATTAACATACAATTAAACTTAAACCTAAAATTTTTAAATTTTAAAACTTTTCTTTTGTTACTAAATTAAGGCTTCGTTAACAAGGAAAATAATGTTTTAACATTTGTCCTTAAGTTGGAACAATTTAATTAATCACTGTGCGTCACAGATTTTAACCGATAATAATAAGAAGGTGGTAATAATTTGCAGTTCAATCAAAAGGGCCAGCCCATGTGCAAAAAGTTTACCAACTTTGAGTATGGTACAGGAAAGTGGATAAAAAAGATGTAATTTTTTTTATTACAACATAAAATTAAAATATATAATTAAAATATAATATAGTTTTTAACTGAGTCCCACACACGAAGGTGATTATCTGCTCTATCGATCCTAAGATTTTTCCTTAATGTAATTTTAGTTATTATTAGTTTGGTATAGTTTCATTGAGCTTCCTCATAAGATAGATTTATAAATTAAATGACATGGGATATCATACAATCACTTTAGCAATTTTTTTCTTTTTATTTTCCGATGGAAAAATTTTATTAGTAAAGTTAAGAAACATGCACCACGTCAATCAATTTATTGATTTAATTTGATTTTAAATTTTTTGTTTTCATTTATTCAGGACGTCTATTTATCTAATAAGGATGAAAACCATATTTTCGAATGATTAATTATACTATCTAACCAAAAACAAGTACACCAAGAAATGCACAAAGAAGTAATTAGTTGGAGCTGGATTGTTATAAAATCTGTGTATGCAGTGGTTTGCAGCATCAGGTGGGCGGAGCAGCTAAAACAGGAACTTAGTTTCCATTTACACAAATAAGATGGGCTACAAATTATTCCAATTGTCGGCTCTTTTAAGGCTATATATTTTGTTACCAAAATTTCCCCGTGACTGTCAATACTAACGAAGAAATTGACTTTTTGTCATTTACTTCAGGCCTCTACACCAACACCAAACATTTTGGGCTCTCTCCCCGTTCTGAATAAGGGAAAAAAACAGCTTATACGGTGCCCCTTACCTTTCCTTCCTAAGACAACAATAAGGCCCCATTTCTTTTCTGTTTTGGCCGAATATATCTGTTCTTGTCTTTCAAGTGTGATTTGACATTTTCTTTTGTTTCCTAACTGATATAATGTATAGATTTGTAGATATATTACTAGATATAACAAAAAGAATTATTACAAATCTTTTTATTCAAATATACTTAATCACTTAACTAAATCTGTCATATTTTAAAAAACAATCAAATACTTGATTCAAATATTTTTAAAAAGTAAATTCATGTCTGCGAAATCAAAATTAGGTCTGAAAGTATAGTTATGCGTTAGGAAAGTTATGCCATACTCACAATGCTTATCCAAACAATGATACGGATTTGATTTTGTATTATCCAAACCTTAAAACATGTTTGTATTTTATCAAATAATTTAATATTGGGAATAATCCTTAATTAACTCTAATATTTTGGTAGAAAACTAAGAGAATTCCTTCACCTCCAAGATATACAAGAAAATAATTATTTCTCTTGCAAAGGCTTTGTTGTTAGATTATTTAATAGTTGTCTTATCAAAATTTATGCAATCTTGAAACTTAATTTCAAGAAAAAATTGATATTTTAACTTTTTCTTTAAAAATATATAAATAAAAATATGACTCGGTTTATGAATCATCTCTTAATCAATATTAGCACCCATGTCCTCTTTTTAAAGAAATCTTTCTTTTTCATTTCCAAATTGATATCTTTCTTTTCCATTTCCGAATTCTATGTTCTTACTTGCCTTTGACCATTTCATCATTGCCTTTATCACTTTCAACTTTTCCAAAGTAATGTAAAAATCTTTCATGTCATTATTCATTTATCAATCATTATTTTAATTGTAAGATGTAAAATGCAGTCATGCATTTCTTTTATTGCAAGGTATTTAAGAGAAAAAAAAAAGGAATGGATTGAGAATGAGATATATCATTAGAAGGACAAGCACAAAGAATGAAATGGAATATTTCTTATTTAACAGGATGATAGAATAATTCTGGCAATTGAGCAATGTAAAAGGGAAAAATTACAAAGATGGATTATTTGGATGACACTACCCAAAATAAATAATCAGATAATCATAATAACACATCTTGAATTTTTTTTGAAAACTCAACCATTTTATGCATTTAACACCTCGGAGCTTCTTATAATATACTAGCCTCCATGTTGTTGAATTCCCAAATAATGCTATATCATCCTCATATAAACCATTTTTTTAGGTTTTCAACTTACATAAACTTTCTTTTGACTTAAACTGTCTTTTCAAGTTTTCGATTTGAGCTTTTCTTTTTTTTTTTTTTCATTTTCATTTTTAAAATTGTTTTTTGCTTTGTTTTCTTTGCTTGCACATATTTTCCTCATTTTTTCTTTTCATTTTTTCTTTCCCTTTGATCAATTAGTGACATTTTGATCAAAATCTCAAACAATTCAATTACAAATTTGCCTTAATTCAATTGATGATCCTAATTCGAGCATTCACATTTGATCAAAATAGAGTTTTTAAGGTATGTAATGTAGGCTAGGGTGAGGGATTATGAAAGAAATAGATAAAATAGGCCCAAAATGTATTTGAAAGGTAATTAAACCAAAGATCATTTCTTTTCACGTGAAGCAATTTCACATTTGCCCCATCAATTTCTTTCTTTTTTAATTTTTTCTTTTTTTCCTTTCTTTTTGTTTCTTTACTTTTTCTTTGTTTTGTTTCTTTTTTTTAATTTGCACTTTTTTCAAGAAAGATCTAAGCATAAAAAGGCTTTGTACTTGAAATCATTAAAGACCTTCACTTCTTTTTTTTTTTTATTTTAATTTGCACATTTCTTAAGAAAAATCTAAGCACGAAAGGGCTTTACCCCTAAAATCATTAAGGACTTTTACATTTTTTTTTTTTTTAAATTTGCACTTTTTCTAAGAAAGATCTAAGCATAAAAAGGCTTTGCCTTTAAAATCACTAAAGACCTCCACTTTTTTTTTTTTTTATGGATAAGCTTTTCAAAATTTGCCCCCTAGTGTTAGGGTGACCCTTGATTAGGGTTTCTTAAAAGAAAATTTCAATAGGTTTAGATGGGATAATAAAGGATAATTTTACTCCTTGCGTGAAAGGTAGAAGAAAAATGACCATTTCTCCTTTCAAACATGAATTCTCTCGATGAAAAATTTTATTAACTAAGACCAGACTTGTGAATGAACCATTACAAATATCAATTTCATCTTTCAATGAGCGAAATTCTTTGCCAAATATCAACTTATCAATCATTTCAACGTGAATGTTACTTTTAAAATCAAATATTGAATTGTTGTCATAATTATCTTCATATTCATTTAAGGACATAAATTTGAATGAAATAGGAAATGCTGGTGAGATGTCTTAGCCTGATGAAAGTGGAAAATGAAAGCAACAGAAAAAATGAATGAAAATGCATCTTCATACTATTTTATTGTAATAATAAAAAAATAAATGGCCTATACATAAAAGATTATCCTAATGCGTTTGGACATAAGCATTTGGAAGTTATAATTACATTGGATTGATTTCAAAGATAGCAAGCATCTTGAGGTCACTCCAATTGTTTAGCTTATAGCCTAGCCAACATGGATGGACTCACACTTTATGTTCATGGCTAATTTTATTTTCTTCATCGATTGCATAGATGGACAGTTCAGTGAAAGTTTCTTCAATGCCCAACTTGGGCTCATTCTCTTCAAAAAATTCAATTTGATATGAATCCACAAGCTTCTGTATGTACTAACAAAATTGCTCACATGATTCAATAGAGTGGCTAGGGACCCACTATGGTACTTGCATCTTTGGCATCATCAATGATAAGTACGTGGGTCCATTGGATATATCATATTAGCCTTATACAAAGCATCAAATAATTGGCTAAAGAGAGTCTTGATTTCTTTCACCCTTTTTCTTACATGGTGCTTTTGGTCCTTACATTGACATTGTGATTGGGCAATGGGTTGCCATTGACTTAGGTGTTTTTATTCTATTTATATAAAAATTTATCAACCTATCTTGAATTAAACGTTGCATCTTATGCTTTAAGGTAGTACAATTCTTAGTGGAATGATCAACATTCCCAAAATAATAGTTGTAATAAGCTGTGAGAT